AAAAGACCCAGGCTTTAACAAAAAAAGAGACCAGAACAAATCAATAGCAGAAAACAGATTAAACAACCAAAAAGTGACTGCTTAGAAATAGAAGATGTGAAGTTACCCCAAGACAAGCTTTCAGCACATATTCAAAAGAAATAACTTTTTGATATATACAGGCATCTGAAAGACTCTCAGACCACACTGGAACTTCATATAGTAAGTTCTTACAAGTAAATTAATGTACAGTAAAAAAATGTTAGAGCCTGTTTTCCAAAGCCTGCTTTGAGATAGGAGAAATTAAATTGCTTTTCTTGGCTAAGATTTGTTCCCACATCAGTGGGTATTAGAATAACCATGTACCATGTTAAATTATACTTAATATACTTGCCAGGTTCTATTTAATTCTAGCACAAGTAATGGTAATAATAGTTGGTTTTGTTGAAAGAAAAATCAGTATTGTATAYAGTAAACTGAATGTAATTGCTCTAATTTAAGTTACGTAAACATATTAATTTATATTTAATATATATCTCATTTCTATTTACTAAAGATAATAAAGATAGCATCTTGAAACAGTGTGAGTCTTCTTGTTGTTGCCCTTGGGTAAGGCACATTACAAATACACTTAAGGAACATAGCGTGAAATAAGAGTATTGTGATTATGCTTACAATTATTCATGAATCACAAATACACATGTGCATACCTATGTGTGTGTGCATGCATATTAATGAAATATGTGCCTTACAGATCTCTTTATCTTGATAGCAAAAAATCACTGTCAATGCAACTTTATTTTAACAATTAAAAAATTATGATAGTAGTAATTTGATTCACTCATATGCTAGTATGTGAACCATTCATTTGCAAGATACATGGCAGTTTAGAGGAAAATGGAGATATTGCAAATCCAAGCTTTTTGCTGTAAAAACCATTCACATCATTAGAAATGCTGTCAGATGAATATGTAAGGTTCCTCAATAAAACCTCAAAACAAGAAACATAAGTGAAACAAATATAATCAGGATTCCACTGTCTATTCATTTTGATTTGTTTTGGGGGGGGGTTCAAAAAGTTGGGTTTGTTGTCCACTTTGTTCTTTTTTTTTGTTGGTTTTTTTTTGAGAAATAAGACTGTTTTTAAGGAACATTTCTAGGTTCAGTGTGCTGATTCAAAGTGCCATTGTCATCCCTGACAACGTCTTCTCTCATCCCCTTGATCTTGACAAAATGCTAACCTTTTGCTAATGAGGGTGTCTTTATTGAATGTCTCTGGATATAATATAAACAGGAAAAAAAAATACCTTTTTGAAAATTAGAATCAGAAGATCTGTTGTAAAAAACAGGTATTGATAGCAAAGTCACTGAGTTTTTTTGGTTTATATGCAATTTTTTTAAAACCTCTTTCAAGATGCTACCTAGATGCTTTTTTGTACTTAAATGCAAAGCTGCTCTTACTTGAGCACATGTGAAATATCTAGATTTTCACTGGAATAGCAAAAGACATGAGATAAGAGTAAGCATAGTAATTTGTGGGCAAATGTATGATCAATCAGGTAAGTCCTATATTTGTAATGCATTCCATTCATTATTGGATTATCATTATTGGATTAGATATTAGAAACATTTTTTCATTGAAGAGACGGTCAGCCATTAGAACAGGCTGACCAGAGAAGTAGTGGAATCACTGTCCCTGAAAATGTTCAAAAAACGAGTGGATGTGGTGCTGAGAGACATGGCTTAGTGGTGGACTTTGCAGTGCTGAGTTATGGTTGGACTCCATGATTTTAGAGGTCCTTTCCAACCTTTATAAATCTATGGTTCTGTTCTTGTGTTTTCATTTCTCTTTCTGTTTGGTCTTTCATTAAACTCTAGGAGAAAGCTGCAGCAAAAATCTTTCTCATATTTAAATACCTACATTGTAAATGAGGTTTCTTTGCTTTATGACACAGTTTTCCAATCACAAATGATATTTAAGCCACCAGCAGTCTGTAAGTGTAACATCTGAGAAACAGCTGTGATATTAATAGGAGTAAGCAAAACTGCACTGTGCTGGTGTGACTTAACTGTGCTTGGGAATTCTTCTTCAGGGAATAAGGATGTTGGTTCTGCATGCCAGTTCTGTCTTCCATCACCCTAGTTAGACCAATAACTGGAAAAGCAGTGTTGATAATAATATCTCCTTCCACAAATATCCATCTCTTAGTACCATTTAGTAGATATCAAAAGTGCTGATATATCAGAACTGCAAACATAATTATTCCCATTTCAAAGATGGAAAGATGTGACATACAAAAGGAATGATTTACAATGATTTACAATGTCTGTAGATGTTTCATTCCAAATTAGTTGATCATTCTCTACAATGGCTGAAAGTGCTGACAACTATGTAAAGGATGGAAAGAAAGAATACCGAATTAGTCTGTGCTTCAATTCCGTTTTTCTAGGTCACAGTTGTACAATAAAGTTTAAAGCAAACCCTACAAAGTTGAACAAGACTAGATAAAGAAAAAGAGACCCGTGACTGTCAGACTTTGGGAGAGCCTCTGATTTGTTAAACCTGCATTCAAGGGAGTAGAGAATCTACAATTTTAGAGTACTGGGATTTAGTGAAAATACCATCAGGCTGATGAAGTTATCCTTCTCTAATACTGAGGGTCTGCAACTCCTGAGCAATGATTCTCACAGATGTCTAAAATGTTGTTTTGCCAAACAGATTATGTGCACTCAAGATTAATAATGTATTACATTTCTTGATCAAAGTATTTGACTGTTCTACCCTCTAAACAATGTGTAAATCAGTTAAAAGTAAAAAAATTAATTTGTGAGCTTTTGACTCTGACATTTAGACAAGCAGAATTCATGCTATGAGAGATGCAGCTGTTATTCTGCCAAAATAAAAGCACATATTAGTAATTTATGAAGACTTTTCACAAGTTTCTTGCAGCAAATTTTAATGGCATAATAATATGCATTTCATACTCATGTAAGGACAAAATATCCCTTCTGATGCATTCAATRTAGTTATAAGTGTAGAGCCAAAAACCCTACATGTACAGATTGCTGAAAGCCATCATGAAGATACTATTTTAGCAGTGCACATAAGTTCATAAACAAGTGAGGTTGTTTGTCCAAAAATAATCCAGATCAGGCAGTTAGGATAAAGTTGGTTGACTGTCTTGCTATATTGACTCTATCACTATAAGACTAGTTTTCAAATTCATTATTGATAGGCTCTTTCTAGCATTTGATTTTATTCTGTTTTAAAAATAATGTAATAAAACGGTTTTTTTTGTCAAATTATAGAAAAAATAGCTGGTATGTCTTGTTTACCTATATTATTGATTATTGATACCATGTTGAAGGTGAGTGCATAGGAAAAGTGTAAGTTAGCTCCAGTTTTGTTTTCCACTTTAAATATGGAATGCCTATTTCCATTTTTGTTTTTATTTTACAAAGAACATACTCCAGTCTTAATTATTCTGGTTGTTTAACAACGTTTTCAATATCAGAAAATATTCCTTTAAATTAAAGGCATGCAATTTAAAAATATTATTACCATATTAGATTTGGTAATGGAAAGTTTACTGGTTGATAAAATAATTTCTTTGCTCTTTTACAAAAGCCTTTCTGTACTGGAAAGCTCTGCTTCCATTTGAAGTGTTAAATAAAATAATCTAAAGCCAAGGAAACTGGGAATGTTTTCAAGGAAACACATCAGAATTTTAAATCTTTAGGAGATATATCTATAGTAAATGATACACTTTAAGAAAAAAAACAATTGACTGCATCTGTAGAGCCATTGGAAGATGAATGGAGATGATGTTAAAAAAATACTTGAAAGCTCTTGATTGCCAAAAGAGAGAACTGTTTAGTAAGATACATTTGCAATAACTTAAGAATTCATAAGAAAGGGAACCTTTGGCTGGGAAAACCTCCTGACATTTTGATCTAGCAGGCTACAGAAAAGCATCCATGAGCGAACAAATAAACTCTTACTCTTTGAAATTCATAGCTATATTGCATATATTGGGACATAGAATGATATTCAGTCACAGGATTTAAATTTTGTTCCAGTTTTTGGCACTATTAGTTGTGAGAAATTTAATTTGCTATTGAGAAGTATTAAAAATTTAAAATAAAAAAATCCTAAAATTATATAGTTAATGTTTTCCTTTAATGAGCAGCAAAATGTTGTTCATAAAATATGTATTTGATAAAGTAGCATGTTAATTACATATGTATATACATATATACACACATATAAACTGCTGCATTAGGAACTTATCATTCATCATATCATTCTCTTGCAAAGTCTGGGCTGTCTTCCACAGAGGTTTTCTTTCTTACAGATGCCAAAGCAAGATAGTTGCAGCTGTAAAGTGTTCATTTATGCTAAATAAATATAATACTAATCATGCCTACTGGTTATTTTATTTAAAGAATTGTCTTAAGAGTTTTGCAGAAACTATTGTCTAAATTACTCAAGCAACTGTATGCATGACAATGAAAGTGATTGTCTCACATATTCCTGTGTGCTCTTAGGTTTCTCTGTGACACCATCCAGCATCTAAGTTTAAGTATTACKGAGCTTTGAACAAAAGAAATCTCTCTTTTATTTGGTCTAATATAGTAACACAATAAATTGTTAATTAGATATGTCTTCTGAACTGTTCTTCATCCACTTGAAGGAAGAGTTTCTGTGTCAAAAGCATTGAGTATCTCTGTAAGTGCTCAAGTTCAAAATGGATGGATAATGGTACTTCTTATACTATTATAATTTTGTGTAGTACTTTCACTGTCTTTTTGGGTAAGGAGTTGTTTTTTTTTTTTTTTAAAGTACTACCTTGTAATACTACTTATATTACTTTTAAAAGGACAGCAATAAATAACTGCAAAAAATGTATGTTGTCAAATTTGGCATAAAAATATTATTGTCTTAAAAAGAATATAGTACAGTGAAACTTAGGGAGTTTTGATTGGTTGGTTTTTAATTTCACATCTGTTTTATTGTTTAGAAATGAATATTTCTACTCCAGAAAAATCATGTTACGGTCCATCTCATAAAGAACGGATATCATTTAGAGACCATCCAGTGCAGCTAAGTGGAGGATGGGGAGCAGGCAAAAAAAGAAAAAAGCTTAACAATACTGATTGAATATTGGAGATAACTATTTGATTTAATCAAATATGGAAAGCATATGAAGACATGTTTCTTTTTAAACCTCTGAATATCAATTGTTGGATTTTCATTTATTACCAATAAACCAGTTTCAGTTAACTACTTTTGACTTATTTTATTATACATGGTTATAGTGGTTTGGGTTTTGTGGGATTTTTTGGTCAAAGTATTTTATACCTGTCAGTAAGTTATCATAGTTTGTGTTTGCAATTGCTTATATGTTCATGTGGTATAGAATGCAGAACTGATTAACTCTACAAGGTTTGTTGCACAGTGACGAAGTTGAGGCTTGAATATAAGAGCTGGATGAGAACTCCAAATGTAGTAAAGGTTCATGTTCATGTGTTGTATGCCACATATTGAAAAACTGAATTCTCCTTTTCTCACAAAATAAAATACATGCTTGCAAAATGTGTTGTTAGCTAAGACAGCCAGCAATGCCATTCTTAGAGAAGTCTGTTTAAATTATTTTACTACAGCAGTAAAAGTTCTCAGCAACCTACAAATATTGGGCATGAACTTTTCTTTTTTTAGGAATATGAATAATCCTCCTACTCAAAGATATAGTAGTCCTATATCTTTCATCACAAATTTTTGTCAAAATATGATAAAGCAACCTGTTATATATGTTCAAATACTTCTAGCTATTCCTTAGAGAACTAAAAAAAAATTAAAGCTTCCTATTTTGTTCTGGGATAGTGTAAAATTAGATCTACATGTCACTGTTAAACCAACTTAATTTTTTCACATAGACAGTCTCCTTCAGACCTATGTGTAAACATTTTGAGGTGCAAGGAGATCTAGAGAAAGAGAAGAAATACGATTTCAACTGTTCATGGAGATCTAACTCATTACTTCTAGTCAATGCTTTGCCTATCAGCATACAGGACAGAAAATGCTCCTTGGTTTCAAAGCCTAATATTATTGTAATGTTTTCTACTTTGAGAGTACAAGTTGCTAACTGAATCTAGAGAAGGCTGTCTCTAGTACATCCTTGTCTGTTTTTGTAAACTTCAGCCCCCTACAGATGGGAGATAGAGAGGATGGGGCTTGAAACTTCAGTCAGTAAAGAATATAAATTCTTGCTTTGTGGATTCTTTTAAAATGTACTTAAATTAACTTGTGATCATATTTTGTAAAGTGCTTTCTGTGCTAACATATACATCTAACTATGGATTAAAAGCATTCATCTCCATTTTGTGAATACTCGCATTCATTTTCAGATAAAAACATCATTGGTGTTATGGAAAACCTTCAGTAAATAATTTTGCTTGTTTGAACCATTGTCCTGTTTTTATTATCACTTTGCTTTTGAAAAGTCAATACACCCTATTTCAGAAAATATTTCTTTGCTTTTCTGGGGAATTATGGTCAGTGAAGGTTGCTTGACCTGACTATAGACATGCTGGGGTTGTCAACAGGGTATAAAGTGTCAGTAGATTATTATCTTACCTAGTTAGTTTCCCAATGGATGAAGTTAGTRTTCAGTTTGATTTCAGGATCTGTAATATAATGACTTTTAAATGTCACCAACAAATACCGGAGCTTTTGTTATTTTGYTTTTAACATCAAGGTTGTAAATTTTATCAGAAAAACTGTTATTTCAAATGTCTGCCTCTACACCTGGTAGTATGTGTAGCCACTGTTACAGGTGTTAACTGGTAATTAAAATACAAAATCAAGCAGTTCAGTTTAGCACTTCTGCAGATTATCCCCTCTATTTGTCTAGAGTATCCATAAGATACTGCACATCACCAGAACTGTAAATAAGGGATCTTTCAGATTTTGTGCTTCTTTCTATATCTGTATCATCTGTGTCTCCATCTGCACTTATATCTGAAAAAATATCTGTTGTATAAAAATTATCATACCTAATATCTTCTGCTTTCAAGGTGTGATTGAATGAGAAACACTTCCCAGCCTAAATAAAATGATTCAGCAACATTTTTTAAGGCATTTTATTTTTCAATGATAAATGGTAGCTTTTTAATATACAGTTTACTAAATTACAAATTGGAGTGACAATATTCACTGACAAGCTTTTTTGGATTCATAATATGCTTAGTCTACTGTTCAATTACTTGATATTGTCATGCATAAATTTATCAGAGAACCCAACTGAAATTAAGGTATAAAGCATGCCAAAATATGTTGCTGTTTTCATAACATTGCAATGTGTAATAGTATGAGGTCCTATTATTGTATACGATAGATTTTTCTCAGAATTGCAGTGTTCAAAGTGCATTGTGTCTGACCAAATATAGATAAATGTGCAAGGTGTAACTTCTGTGCAAACTAGCAGAAAAACTTTATTACAGTCAGGAATAAGGTGAAGCCACCAACATGCTTTGGTGTTCATAGTCGCATCTTAACAGTATGTAAGGTCAGAGGTAACAGCAATGATGTATGTGGTGGATATTTATGACATGAATTTTTCAAGCCCTGCTCTCCAAGCAGTTTCATACTTTTTTGGTGTCATTTGGGGATTTTCTTTT